TTAACAAAAGGAGCGATAATTTCTTCTCTATACCTTTGCGCAGTAAGAGTACCATTAAAAAAAATAGGTCCATAAATCCTCCTTCGATTGAGAGCACACCAAACTCCAATTTTTTGAGCGTGTAGAGGGCCCTCGACAAAAAAGTTATCTGGTTTTTCAGAAGACCACATTCTCATATTCTGTGAGTTTACGTAACCACTTAAATGAAACCAGGCTTCATCAGAAAAAAAGGTGATATTATGAAGTTCACCGTAGTTGTTTAAAAACCATTCACAAAATACAGCCCGTCGCGGAAAATCAACTTCATGAAGTTCTTGCTGACAAGTTAAACGATAGGAGAACAAACGCAAATCTTTTTTTAACACTGTGTGGCAGGTACCGACTGATACTCCCACCATTTGTGATAAAACACGTACAGAAGTTCTTGGCGCATTTTCCATTATTTGTTGGACATTTTCTTTTAATTCTTCAGTCCGCTTTTTAGGTCGGCCGCTTCCTTCTTTTCTTGTTACACTGCCCGTTTCACGAAAAACATTAACACAACGCTGAACTGCACTTTGAAAAATTTTGTACTCAACAACGCCGGGAAATTGATTTTGAAATTCTATGAAACATTCCTCAATAGAATACTTCCATATTCCATCAATCTTGCGTCCATTTCTAAAGTAGGACTCTATGATAAACACTTTTTGTTCTTGAGAAAACACCATTTTAAACGCTTTTTAAAACGAAAATATTCAAATTGATAGCGGCGATATAGCGCTTTGACAGATGACGTTTAAGTTCATTTGCTATACGCTACGCCCTACGTCCAAATTTTCAGAACCAACTTGACCACGTTTTTATTTGAACACTCGTTATTTACGATTGAAAGAAACTACACCATTCTTTCTGCATTTCAGTTATCAATATCGCAAAATCGCAAATATGTGGGGAGGGATTGCGTCATTCGTTAAACCGTAACTTCTACGCCTATGACTTTTTTGAAATATCTAAATATCAGTGTATTTTGTTGAAATATTACATTTACGAAAAAAATGTAAGATTTTTGTATTTTCTTGTATTATATTACTGAAATAAAAAAAAATGTGAATTTGTTTAAGAAAAAGAGTACGATTATGATTGCAGTTTGATGACGGATACGTGGAAAAACGAGACTAACCTTCAAAGTTTCCTGTTACATTTTTTTATTTATTCACAATCACCTTATAATCGGACTTTTATCCACACATATGAACCGTCTAAAGTGATACTTTATCCACTAGTGGAATAAAGTAACTTTATATCACTATAGCCCAGTCATTATAGACATGAAAGAGCCTGTTTCGGGAAAAAAATACTATTAGAAGTTTCTCTGCGGAATATTGTTCGGAAACCTGTTATAAATAAAATATCAACAAATCAACTCGAGGCTAGTTGGGAAACTTTGTTTTAACAGTGGTCAAAGTTATAGAAAAGTGGTTTTTTGACTCACGTAAATAAACTATTATTCATAGTGAAAAAAAGTTTATAGAAAAAAGGTAGGTATTAAATAAGCCTATAAAATGAGAAAAGTCCGATTAAATTCCGATAATTTGTTTATGCACAAGAGCTCAAAAATGGTCGAAAATTGCCGTTTGTTTCAATTGCTAATAATTAATGCAATTTTTATCGCAGACACTTGTAATTCAGGATTTTTGAGGCTTTTTACACCCTTAATAAGTGGTAAAAATTTCAGCCCGAAAGCTTCATTGGTTTGGCGTTAGCGAAATTTGTTATCTAAGGTGATGCTATTTTCAATTTATTTTTCCCAAGCTCACAGGCGTTGTAGGGTTTCGATCATTAGTTGTTTTTGTACCTAAATTTAGTTTTTCAAATTTAATTTGTTTAAAAATGACTGAAAAAATGTTAATATTTATTAAATTGTTAAGCGCGCATGCTCCGCCTCGCTCTCCCCACTCGTTCGCTAGACCAAGTAATAGAACGCATCGCCGCTATCTTCTTTTTCGCAATTAAATAGTTGAATTCACCTTAATGTTAATGTAGGACATGAAAATATAGCTCTTAATGTATACTCTCTCCAAATTTCGGCTCTTAATATTAATAATTAAGGTCACTGCGATTAAATAAATAAAAAAAATTATCTCAGCTTCTAATCAACTTACAACAACGATTTTTTTTTAAATTCGAAGAAAACTAAAGTATAGAGGTTACTATTTTATTTTATAATAATTACCTATCTTAACAATTTAATAAATATTAACATTTTTTCAGTCATTTTTAAACAAATTAAATTTGAAAAATTAAATTATCAGTAAATGCATATGTCAATACAACTATTTAGGTACAAAAACAACTAATGATCGAAACCCTACAACGCCTGTGAGCTTGGGAAAAATGAATTGAAAATAGCATCTTCTTAGATAACAAATTCCGCCAACGCCAAACCAATGAAGCTTTCGGGCTGAAATTTTTATCACTTATTAAGGGTGTAAAAAGCCTCAAAAATCCTGAATTACAAGTGTCTACGATGAAAATTGCACTAATTATTAGCAATTGAAAAAAACGGCCATTTTCGACCATTTTTGAGCTCTTGCGCATAAACAAATTATCCGAATTTAATCGGACTTGTCTCATTTTAAAGGTTTATTTAATACCTACCTTTTTTGTATAAACCTCTTTTCGCTATGAATAATAGTTTTTTTACGCGAGTTAAAAAAACACTTTTCCATAACTTTGACCATTGTTTAAATAAAGTTTCCCAACTAGTCTCGAGTTGATTTTTTGATATTTTATTTATAACACATTTCCGAACAATATTCCGCAGAAAAACTTCTAATAGTATTTTTTTCCCGAAACAGGCTGTTCCATGTCTATAATGACTGGACCATAGAGAGAAGAAAATATTAATATCACCTTTTCTGCTTATTTCTCCCGCATGCCAACAAAAAGAGCGGGTTGTACATTTGAAGCACTGTTAATTTCTGCAGTGGCACGACAGTCACCAGTCAATTTGCCTCCCCTTTTCCGTTTCCCCTTTTTAAATCGACTCCGATTAGCGACTAGATATAAGGGCAACGCATTATAGGGGAACAAGTGTGGATTTTGCCACTCGCTACGCCATAAATAATTTAATAACATAAGAACGATTAAGTTGGTTGAGTTGAAATAAAGTGTGGAATACAGTGTGGAACATATAATACTCAAAGGGACTGTCATATTTAAATTGGATCGAGGAAGCCATGACCCATGTGTCTGTAAACATTTTTTATAACAACAAAACTTGTACATATTATTATTTATATATGTCGTCATTGTTTATACGGGTTTTCCCAAAACATTTATTGCAACTGATGCAAGCGTAATAATTATTTCGTTATCTAAATTAATTTAATCTGCGTGGCTTAAGCAGTTAGAAAGTTGTTTTTTTTCTGTTTCTAAATACCTGCATAGTTGCGAGAAAAGATATTTTCTATTGATTTGGGAAAGGTCAGATTTTAGGAATGATAATTTTCGGTCGCCATGCTACTAGTTCTGTTTTATCCCGTAGACTTCCTATACAGCCCGTATTTTCGCAACTGAACATTTTTGGATCATAGCAAACAATCATTAATTTTCCATGTAGAATCACACCCTTAAATATTTGCATATCACTAAGGAACACCCCGTATTTTTTTTTCTTATTTCTATAAAGATTAGTAAGAGTAGTAGTGCTATTTTGACTTGCCCTATTAGTCGAGGAAATACAAGCACAAAAAGAGCCGAAATCTCCGAAATGTTTCGATCAAGTCGTATCAAGATGGAGTTTTTTGCATTCGCTTTCTAAAATTACGTGGAAAAAATGTAGCAACTTTGTTTTATGTTTTTCGGCCAAATTGCATTTGTGCAGTGCAAAATGCATCCGGAAAAATGCATTTTTTAGTCACTTAGAAAAAATTCATAACTCGGTTAATAATACGTGGAATTGACTCAAATCAGGGTCCTGTGGGTTTTCGAGGTCGCTGATCCCGAATATGACCTTCAAATCGGTCCATCGCCGACATGGAGCTTAGGATTGATGATGAACGTCATCTCCGAGGCTTCTCCTGAATTTCACAATATATTGTAACGAGACTTGAGACCCGGAGGTTTTTCGGGTCGCTGATTCTTAATCTGGCGTCGGCGAGCACCCCCCGGACACCTGGTGCACCGGAACCTAGACATGGACGTCATCTCCGGGAGTTCTCCTGTAAAATTCGCGTAAACGAGCCGAAAATCGGATCAGGGGATTTTTCGGGGCGCTCTTATCGAAATCATCTTATAATATGACGCATGCACGACTGTGAGCCTCCAGGCCGGGGCCCTCGAAAAACTATCTGGGCCTTATACGTCAGTTGACGATGAAAATGATATTTAGTAGAATATTTTCAAATTAAAATAATGGAAACAATGACACTCTCAGATTTCAATATTATGACGTTTTGAGTTTATTATATTTCATATTTTCGATGTATGAGGATTGTCCAATCGAATAACTGTACTCACCTCGGGGGAAATGCGTGGTTTCGGCGATAAATCCGACAAAGAAATGGATTTTCTTTTGTGGGACACCAGCGTTTTTTTCCTGAGTTCCTCCTCCTTCTGAAAGTTCGAAGGCAAGAGTCGTCGCGGCGCGTCAAATAGGTACTCACTAGACCTGGTTTTTCTGCGTTCTGCCTTCTGTTTCTGCTCCCTGTACAGAGCGTTGTTTTTCAGTTCGTCGATCAGCTGAAGCGACACGGAATTTTTCCTTGACAACGCGGTTTTACGGAACACCGAATCATCGTCGTTGTTTCTGTTATCAAGATGTGGCAACTTCTTGGCGGATAATTCGGTTTTTCTTGGAACTTCCGGTGGTTTGGCCGGTCTAGGTCTGTTTACGTCGTCATTGTCCCTCTTTTTTATGTAAAAACTGAACGAACGTCGCGACAACGGCATATTCAACGCGCATAATCACCGTTTTTGACATCCATTCACATGTTTCACTCTAGATAACGAATTAAATTTTATAATTGCTTATCTAAATCATCACCACTAATTTTAGACTCTGATTTGAAATCCGCGCTAGCTGGCAGTGAATCGGGCAATACCAACATAACGAAAACGAACTGGAATGTCACTAGGGGATTTATTTTAATTAGAAAATCTCGAGTGTTATCTGCAATCGCGAATTAATGATATGTTTTCGATCTGGAATGAGATATGAACTTTGTTTTTCGGTTCTGGTGAATCTGGTGATAAATAATTTGCCGAATTTGTCGCAGAGTGTCGGTGAGTCACCTCATTCTCGTCACCAATCGCCGCACTGAGAGAAGTTAGTCGTTGTCGGGATTGTCGGGAATCAAAATGACATAGAGGGTGTTGTCCGGTGTTCAATTCTTTAAAATTTCATTACAATTCAAACAGAAGCGATTCGAATAGCATGTGCGTATAGCGTCTTTTGTTAATTCACACCAAATATCTGGAGCGAACATTAAAAATGGCCAGCTACTATAGGACTTTCATGGACAGCTTCTGGAGCGAGAGGATCTGGCTGCCCCCGAACACCACCTGGGCTGACATAGCCCCCGAGTCTAGCTCGGAGATCCAGCACGCCGACTACAGACACCTGTTCTACCCGCTGCCCATGGCCCTCTTGATGCTGCTCCTCAGATACTGCCTGGAAAAGTAAGTTGGAGGTTATGAGTCGTGTTTCGAGACGTTTCCGGCTTTTTTTCCAGGTATTGGTTCGCCCCCGTCGGCATGTCCCTTGGCATCAAGAACACCAGACCAAAGAAAGCCCCTCAGAACCCCGTGTTAGAGAAAGCTTACACTCATTCGAAGCGGTGGAAGCACAAGGAGGTTCGTAGCAGGGCTTGGAAATAGCGATTGTTTTTTTTTTTGTAAACAAGCGTGTTGTTTTTTTAGATACAAGGCTTGGCGAAGCAGACTGATATGACGGAAAGGCAAGTTGAGAGGTGGTTGAGGTTGCGCAAGGGACAGAACAAGCCTACGATCTTGACGAAGTTCTGCGAGAATTCCTGGAGGTGTTTGTATTATTCCTTTAGTTTTATATACGGCATTACTATACTGTGGGACAAGTCGTGGCTGTGGGACATCAGTGAATGCTGGTAAGCTTGAATTATTGTCGTTATTAGCGTAAATTTCGCAACTGTTAGAGGAGAAACTTTAATTTTTTAACGATTAATTATTTTTGATGGCCGAACATTGTCTAAATGTGTGGAAGACGTCTGCTGCCTCGTTTAGATTTACGTTGGTTTAATGGATGTGTTAATTTCAGTTAGTTAGTGTTGTAAAGTGGATCAAGGTCGGGAACGGAATTGCATGGTAAAGCTGTGCTTTAAGGTTGTTCTTAGTTATGTAATTTGTACAGCATAGATGTTGGAATTGCAAATCACAGTTTATTAGTACTAAATTTTCTTGTTTTAAATTATTATTTAAACTATTGGTGTTGTTTAATTTTTTTTTAAATTGAATGAATTTGGGACTAAAATTTATTTCAAATGCTGTTAGAAGAAAAGGAAAACATTTTTTACATTGTACGACGTACACATGATGATTCCAAGAAGTTTTATTATATGCTTTTAAATTTTTTATCTACATGTGCTTCGCTTATCAGCGCTTGCTAAAGGCTTTTGATATCTAGAGTAATTTAGATATCTCAGTGAGGCTATAAAGTTTTTTATTGTACTATTATTTACAACGTTAGCAAACAATTTTTTTTTATTGCCCTGCTGGTTCTTGGGTTTCATAATTAGCAGGAGAACGCAAGGCGGTTTCTAGGACGGCCTTGCACTTTTTCCATAGTTTTTTGATAAAAAAGTCATCTCTTTTCGCAATGACAGCGTTTTTGCCCCTCGTTTTTGTCGAGCTATAATTGTTTTATATGATTGCTAGAAGTGGCACGATTGTTTACTGCTCTATTCGACGTCATGTTATATAACACTGTTATTTGCATGAATAAAACTCGTCATTTACTATTTACTCGATTATGCAAGACATGATACCAGGAAAGATGAATAACTTGTTTGTTCGTATCATACCTTATTAAGGAATATGATAAGACCTGTTTTACTCAATAAATTGAACAAGAAATTGGCTAAGTTATATCGGCGTGTGCAACAGAGAAATAGTGATAAAAGTCCTTATCAAGTGAAGTCAAACAATGTACTTCGATACCAGACATCTAAGTATGCAAAATATATCCAATCCCACAGACAAGAGTCCTAATTAGCATTGAAAAACGCTAGCAATAGCTAGTAAACAGCAAGTTATTAGTAGTAGTAGTAGTAGTAAAGGGGCGGCCTCAGCCTGGCAATTAGGCCACAAGTGGGCCCTTTTTGCCTACCCCGCCGTCCCATCACCTGACCACTCTCTGCCTCTGACCCTCCTCGAACCTACCCGACGCCCTAATGAACGCCAGGATTTTGGTCCATGGAAGGTCTCTCACCTCAGCCCCTTGCAGCTCTTCAGCACCAAAGACTTTATGTCTTATTCTCCCAAAGGCTGCACACTGTCCCAGAAGGTGGACAGGGGTGTCCTCCCCTTCGCCACATTTCGGGCATAGAGGGTCCTCCTCAATTCCTATTAAGCTTAAATGCCTCCTAAGTCTGCAGTGGCCTGTCAGAACCCCCACCATTTGGTTTAGGGCTCTTCGACTGAGGCTCAGCAGCCATCTTGTCTTGGATTTGCTAGGTCCATGTATAAAACTATGGGCCTGCCTGCATCCTCTATTTCTCCTCCAATCCAGACCTAAAGTTTGATAGGCCCACTTATTGAGGGCCCCATTAATGCTGCCTCGTGTGATACCTAAGATTGGTTCAGGTCCCTGTCCAGGTCCCCTGGACCCAAGACGAGCTAATTGATCCGCCCTCTCGTTACCAGGGATGCCCCTATGGCCTGGGACCCAAACCAACTCTACACAGCTGCTCTAAACAGCAAGTTATTAAATAATTATCCAAAATAATTTTAATTAATGATATTGTATCGAAATGATCGTAAGCGTTTGGAACAGAATCGGATTCAGCTTAAATTGAAACTGTTCATGGTTTTGTTACTGTTTTGTTTATTTTGGATTAATTTAATAAAAGGAGGAAAAGGACTAGAAACACTATATTTTTAGAATTTTATAATTTTTTAATATCTGTTTTAACTTTCCCAAAGGCGTCCATTTTTACTTTATGTGGTGACAGTAGACACACTGATATTTGCAAATTAAATACATACACACCACATGGAAAAATAGTAACATAATTGTTTGTAAAAAAAAATATCAGTCGGATTAGTATTTTTAGTTATTTTTCTACTTATATTATTTTTAAAATAGCAAAAATAATTATTTTAAGTAATAAATTAGTTTTATTTGCAATTAGCAACATATCTATAGTAGGATGGTATTCGATGCAAAGTAGAGCAGAAAATTGTTGGTCTTTCATCAAAGGAAAATCCTGTCATCATTTTTAGGAGGCATAAGATGAACCATTTCAAATTTATCAGAATAAAGAGATTTTTGTAGGAACAGGGTGCCAGACGTGAACTGATCTCTTCATTCCTTCATAATGCATAAAGAAATTATTCGATTTCTAAACCCCTTAAAACCGTATTGCACTGGATCCCTTGACGGGCAATGATTTATTACTTTGCATCGAATATGATCCTACTATACATACATACATACCAATATCAGTTAATATTTATTTAAATAATGAATTTCTCAGTCCTTCATCCACGTTGAAATCAAAAAAAATATTGGTTGATTTATAAAGGTAACAACTGGCAACACTGATAAGCGCTCACATACAAGACGAGGCAAGAGTTTAAGTGCAGTTTCAAAAACAGGGTTCATAGTTTAAAAGTAATATTGGATTCTCATGTTTCTAGGTTTTCCCTGACAAAGAAAATGCAGGTCACTTATAGTTCATTTTTACATACTAATTTTTGTTTATGGATAAAACTTTTTCTAAACCGGACTCCATAATCTTTTTTATCCAAAGAGCCTCTCATAAAGGTTACAAAACCACAAATAATTTTCTCTTTCAAGAACCCCGGGCCTGCATTCACAAAATTTCCGGTACCAAACGTCAAATTCCCTGACTTTTATAAATACTTTTAAAATTCCCTGACTATTCCCTGTTTTTTTTATGAAAAATAATGAATTCCCTGACTTTTCCCGGTTTCCAGACCGCTATGGACCCTGAAAAACAAATTATAAATAGACTTTATTTGATTAAAAAAAATTGTAGTTTATTATTCAGGTATTCTGATATTTTAAATTTGCTCCCTCTGGAATCCCGCGTTAGCGCTGTCTTCCATGGTAATCAACTTAATGCCTCCTATTTATCCTTACTTTTCTATTTTTATTTTCCAATATTGGTATCATTTTGCTTTATTTTGTTTCCTTAGATTTCTCTCTTATAGTCCAGGAAATATAGAGTTGGACGCGACTTTTTGTTTCGGCAAGCTGAATTTATCACCATAGATGCTAAATATTATGTACAATAACATATTAGTTTCCATAGTCATAAAAATGGGGGAAAGATTGTTTACAGGGTGGTTAATTGTATAGTTTTTACGTAAATTCACGTTTTTCGCTTATAACTTTTTTCCGTTCATTTCCACGAGAAAACAGTTAAGTACTTTTTTTTTCGTCTTCAAAAGACCTACAAAACTAGCCTCGAGCGTAAAAAAGTATTGATTAGATCAAAAGTTATAAACAAGAAGTTTATTTATGACTTTTGAATTAAACATTTATAAACTGAGTAACTAAGGTTGCAAATTTGAAATTTAAAAAAAAAGATAGACTTCAATGTATTATGAAATCTGCCAGGAAAAAAATCAGTGCGATTGTGGAAGATCCTCGGGATCGTCCCGACTAATAATTAGTTAACTTGTTTATAAGGCCATAACTTGTAAACTATTCAATTTACCGATTCCAGATTTCGTGTGAGTTATTAGACAGTGATAAGGAATGAGAGGATGCGATGCCAAAACGTTCTGGTAATAATAACGCAGGTTATAGATGTTTTATTCGAAAGTAATAAATAAACTTCTTCTGTTTATAACTTTTGATCTAATCAATATTTTTTGACGCTCGAGGGCTAGTTTTTAGTTCTTTTGAAGACTAAAAAAAGTACTTTACTGTTTTCTCGTGGAAATGAACGGAAAAAAGTTATAAGCGAAAAACGTGAATTTACGTAAAAATTATACAATGAACCACCCTGTAAACAATCTTCCCCCCATTTTTATGACTGTGGAAACTAATATGTTATTGTACATAATAACGAGCGTTCAAATATATACGTGATCGAAGTTGTCTCTGACACATTGGACGTAGGGAGTAGCTTATAGCGACCAACTTAACCTCATTTCTCAACGAGCTGTATAGCAGCTGTCAGTTTCAATAACGTTAATGACTATATAACTTTATTTTAAAGAATAATCGTGATAACAATAACAAACAATTAAAGGAGCTGCGGAAAGTGTCCCCCTCCTTGTTATAACAATAAATTAAAGCAGCTGCTGAAAGTGTCCCCCTCCTTGTTCCAAGCACTTTTCACACCTGTTCCTCAAAGAATTAAAGACATTTTCTAAGATGCTCGGGGTATTGTTAATTTCACGAATCTTGTCTATAAGTCGAGCCTGCAGATGGTTTAAATCAGGAATAGGCAGTTCAAAAATAGTGTTTTTAAGGTAAGGCCACAAAAAGAAATCACACGGCGTAATATCACATGACCTCGGTGGAAATTCATGTTCAGCATTGAGACTTATTAGTCGATTTTGGAAAACTTCCCTCAACATATTCATCGTCTCGCCTGCCGTATGTGCCCTTGCGCCATCTTGTTGAAAGTAAAAGTTTGTAATTTCGTTTTCTTCCAGCTGGTTAACAAAAGGAGCGATAATTTCTTCTCTATACCTTTGCGCAGTAAGAGTACCATTAAAAAAAATAGGTCCATAAATCCTCCTTCGATTGAGAGCACACCAAACTCCAATTTTTTGAGCGTGTAGAGGGCCCTCGACAAAAAAGTTATCTGGTTTTTCAGAAGACCACATTCTCATATTCTGTGAGTTTACGTAACCACTTAAATGAAACCAGGCTTCATCAGAAAAAAAG